AAAACCTCAACAATAAAAAGACAAATAACCCAATTAAAAAATGGGCAAAGGATATGAACAGGCACTTCACCAAAGAAGATATTCAGGCGGCTAACAGACACATGAAGAAATGCTCACAATTAGAGAAATGCAGATCAAAACTACAATGAGATATCATCTCACCCCAACAAGGCTAGCATTAATCCAAGAAACACAAAATAATTAATGCTGGAGAGACTGTGGAGAGACTGGAACACTTATACACTGTTGGTGGGAATATAAAATGGTACAACCACTTTGGAAATCAATTTGGAGCTTCCTTTGAAAGCTATAAATAGAAGTACCATACGATCCAGCTATCCTGCTCCTTGGAATATATCCTAGAGAAATAAGAGCCATCACACGAATAGATATATGCACACCCATGTTCACTGCAGCACTGTTCACAATAGCAAAAAGATGCAAACAACCTAGGTGCCCATCAACAGACGAACAGATACGCGAATTATGGTATATCCACACAATGGAATACTACGCAACCATAAAGAACAACGATGAAGCCGGGAAACATCTTGTAACATGAAGGAAGCTGGAAGGCATTATGCTGAGTGAATTTAGTCAGTCATAGAAGGACAAATATTGTATAAGACCACTATTATAAGAACTCAAGGAAAGGTTTAAACACAGAAGACAACATTCTTTGATGGTTACGAGGGTGGGGAGGGAGGGTGAGGGTTATTCACTAACTAGACAGTGGACAAGTTTTATCTTGGGTGAAGGGAAGGACAGCACACACTACAGAAGAAGTCAGCACAACTGGACAGAACCAAAACTAAGAAGTTTCCTGAAAAGAATCAAACACTTTCAGGGACAAAGTAGCAGGGGTAGGGATCTGGGGTCCATGTTTTCAGGGGACATCTAGGTCAACTGGCGTAACAAAGCTTATTAAGAAAATGTTCTGCATCCTACTTTGGTGAGTGGCATCTAGGGTTTTAAAACCTTGCAAGTGGCCATCTAAGATGCATCAATTGGTCCCAGCCACCTGGAGTAAAGGAGAATGACGAACACCAAAGACACAAGGAAAGTATTAGCCCAAGAGGCAGAAGGGGCCACATAAACAAAAGACTTGATCAGCCTGAGACCAGACGAACTAGATGGTGCCTAGCCACCACCAATGACTGCCCTGACAGGGAACATAACAGAGAGTCCCTGATGGAGCAGGAGAAAGGTGGGGTGCAGAACTCAAATTCTACTAAGAAGACCAGACTTAATGGTCTGACTGAGACTGGAGGAACCCCAGAAAGCATGGCCCTGGATTCTCTATCAGCCCAGAACTAAAACAATTGCCGAGGCCAACTCTTCAGACAGGGATTGGAGTGGACTGTGGGACATAAACGGATACTCGTGAGGAGTGTGCCTCTTAGCTCAAGTAGATTCAAGAGACTAACGGGCAGCTTCTGTCCAGAGATGAGATGGGAAGGCAGAGAGGGTTAGGAGCTGGTTGAATGGACATGGGGAATCAGGGGTGGAAAGGAGGAGTGTGCTGCCACAGTATGGGGAGAGCTATTATGGTCACATAACAACGTATGTATAAATTTTTCTATGGGAGACTAACTTGAAATGTAAACTTCATCTAAACTACAACAATAAAGAAAAAAAGGGAAAAAAAATGAACCAGTTTCATGATGGTGATAACATCTAATTTGAACTTGTCTACTTTGGGATACGGCTGTTCGGTATATAGATGTAAGTTTGTAACTGTACTTACACTGTGAGTTCATGATTGATTTTTTTCACAATGGGTAATGTCTGTCTCATACCTCCATGATGCTTATTTCTTTGCTATTATGTTCAGTAATTGATATTAAGCGATTTCATTTCATGTTGAGAGAGGCACAAGGGGAATGTTGAAGAGAAAGGGGAATGATAATGTTTCAAAAAGAAAACTCAGATATTCTTCATTTAAGTTTCTAAAGATGATTTCTATCACTGGCCTTATTAATTTTTTTTTAATAAACAAGTATTTCCCTTCAAAAAAAATGATAAAAATTAACATTATTAAGGTATGACTCATACAAAGTGTCATGTTTCTGAACTAGTATAAATGGATAAAGATGGAACCTAGCAAGTATTCAACATGTAATTCAATACTTAAAAAATTTACAAGTGATTCAGCCTTAGCTTACTTTTGAAGATCATGAAATCCTGTATGCAAAACAATCTTATCAGATTATGTACCTCAAACAACTCATCACTTTATCAATAAATTTGTTTCTATTGGAAATGATTCCTAAAGAACAACAGAAAGAAAATATAACAAGAAAACATTTAAGAACCATATTCTTCAGTGGTAAGGAGATATACAAAATAAAGCACAGTGATCTACACTGCATCTTATAATTCTCTTACACCACCGGTCCTCCACGTCTCCCCAGAACAGTGAGCACATACCATGACATTTCACACAACATCTCACAAGTGCTAACCATTTCTGGAAATGGACTTATTTCCTCACGTAAATCCTAGAAACACCACCTTATCATAATCTTAGACTTATTTTGTAAGCAATCAATGTTACCAGTCAAAACCTACCTAGAATATTAATGAGCACAAATATATCCTGCTTGAAAACACTTTATTAAACATTTTTAGACTGTTGCTTCCTACTTTTTAAGAATAAAAATGAATTTTAATAAAAAAACAAATCTATTCTGAAGTCATTTTCCTTTGTGTGAAGAACTACAAATAAAATGTACATTAATTTTAAAAGCAAAGTATTTCACTGCAGATATTTTAAATATCTCAAAAGCACAATAATTTCTAAGCACACCAAGATTATGTAGCTAGTTCAATATTCTTGGCAACGGGGAGTGATTAGCCTGTCTACGGCTTAGGATCTGTTTCCAAGCTTGTTTCCTGAGCTTCTTCTACCTCTGAGAGTTTTTCATCATCTGAAATTGAGAAACATAAAACCTTAGTCAAATATGCTCAAATTATGTGCCTAGTGAATACATGAGAACATTTTTATCCTTTATTAGCTAATACGTTTAAATCAAAGATGGCAAAATAACAGCCTATGACTACAACTGGCCTGCATAAGCGTTTGGCTTGAAAAGTGCTGTTTTAATAACACAGTGGGAGGACAAAATTTAAATTCACAAAAAAGACCAGACTTATTGGTCTGACAGAGACTAGCAGCACCCCTGAGACTATGGCACCTGGACACCCTTCTTACTCAGAACGGAACCCACTCTTGAATTTCACCTTTCAGTCAAAGATGAGATAGACATATAAAACCAACTGAGTCCTGGTGGCCCAGTGGTTAAGCGTTTGGCTGCTAACCAAAAGGTCGGCAGTTCGAATCTACCACCCGCTTCCTGGAAACCCTATGGGGCAGTTCTAACCTGCCCTATAGGGTAGCTATGAGTCAGAATTGACTCAACAGCAATGGGTTTGGTTTTTTGGTTTATAAAGCAAACAATAACACGTGAGGAAAGTGCTTTTTAGATATATCAAATCAAGTATATGAGACTAAATGGGCAACACTTGTCCAAAAGCAAAGACGAGAAGGTAGGAAGGGACAGGAAAACTGGAAGAATGGACACGGGGAACCCGGGGTGGAAAGGAGGAGAGTGTTGATACCTCGGGGGCATTGCAATCAATGTCATGAAACAATTTGTGTATAAATTTTTGAACGAGAAACTAATTTGCTCTGTACACTTTCACCTAAAGCACATTTAAAAAAAAAAAAAAAAAGTACTGTTTTGGTAGTTATTAGCTGAGCCAAAATTTTAAATTTGTGTCAGATTTCACACAAAAAATTATGGATGTTAGGCTTTTCTTGGAAACAACCAGCAGATTAGGTAATAAAAAACTTTCTACATGTCTACAGTCAATACAAAGAGCAAGTCTCTAGGTCTCCATAGCACCGACCATTCACAATGTATGCAAATACTCTTAGGCATTGATTATTTCACCCACTTATCATTACCTGTCTGGGTCCTGAAGCTTTACTTTATAGCAATGAACTATAATAAACCCAGAAAAATTTCAAATCTATGCTCACTGAATTTTTCTCCATTTAAGCCACTGTGTGCATATTTAAATCATACATGACTACAAAGTAAGACTTTTCTGTATGTACTCAGAAAGCTAAATAATGTGTCTTCTAATGCCATCCAGCTATACTCCTGGTCAGAAACTGAAGGTGTACAACTGAGATGTAAATTCCTAAAAGGCACACTCCTGGATCATTTAAAAAATCTTCACAAGCATTTATCTTGAGACTATTTCTACTTACTTTCCAGTGTTTGCTGAAGTTCGTGGATGGTACTAAGAAGAACATGAAACTGTTTCCGTCTCAATTCCAGCTGTGTTTAAAAAAAAAAAAAAAAATTAATTCAAATTGCTCTGAATTGATATACATATATATATGGCAAAGGCTAATAAACATATGCAAATACCTTATCTTCAACACTTTCTTTAATATGTGAAAGATGCTCTAATTCTTTTCCCAAAGCCTCTAGTTCCCTGAAAAAAATAAAAGTGTTATATTTTACTAACTGGGGGAACAGAACCCACGATTAACATCTAACTTTTAGGTTACTAAATGGTGCTTTAAAAATGTAAAAAGAATAAGGAGTTACACTACTGCATTACGGAGGTGCTTGTAAAGCTGAGGATTTCTATTTTAACTTCTAAATATGTGCTTATTTTCATTAAAATAACATTTTTAGATAATTTTTCTAAGTACAGGAAAACACAGATAATGAAATAACAAACACCATGAACTAATAATGTTTAACATCTTGTCATACTCACTTCAAGTCTTTTTCTCAGTAAAAGAACTAAAACATTGCCCTTAACTAGAAATAGTTTAAAACTCAATATGTCTTCTGTTTCTTCTTTCACTAATTATGTTTCTGAGATCTGTGTTAAAAAGTGTATATCTAGTTTATTCTTTTTAACTGCTATTTAGTATTCTACCATATGAACAGACCATATTCTAGTCATCCATTGTCCTACTGATGTATATTCCATGGATTTATTTTAGACCTACAGGTAGTAAAGTGAAAGAAGAAAAAACAAAACATCTAATCAAGCAATATTAGAATATGAAATATCACAGATATGACTGCTCCTTTTGAAACATATTACGTATTGCCATAAAAAATGAATGCATAGGCTAACATTTGAACATTTAAGTATAAAGATTAGTTCATTTCAAAGCAAAGCTCTAAACTTACTTTAATGTCTCATGCCTGTCTGGATGATGTTGGATTACTTTTGCTAAAGCATCGTATTCTGAAAGACATAAAAATATTTACCAAACTAAGGTGTTTTAAAGCTGGATTATCAAAACATAGTCTGTAATATAAATCTCTCATAATCCTTTGCCTAGTACATACAGAAATGAACACACTGAAGGATGGAAAGAGTATTTCCAATCTCACTTGATTCAACTATAACCGCTATGATACGTGACATCAAAAGCGTTCCACACGGGCTCTCCGCTCCCACTCCTGGTTTTCCATTTAACCACCCCTGGGCTGAACAGTAAGAGGCCAGCACAGGTGGGGAACCAGCTGAAGTCATCCCTGATCCTCTAGTGGACTGATTATCAAAAGGATCCCATTCACTATTTGCCCGGCAAAAAACATCAGTGAGGGAAATATATCTTATCATTAATTTCAGATCTTAGCCAAAGGCAAACTGCACTTCTCCTCATTTCAGAAACTTAAGAAATGACTTAAAATTCAGGAATCTTGTTTCTGCTCCACTGAATCCTCCACAATAAGTCAAGTGACCCCTGCTGACCTTTCTTACGAAATGATAAATGGCAGTATTCACTAAACAGTGTCCTTAGCTAGAAAAAACACTGCTTGCAAAATATTTTAAAATGATCTTAGAATTAATATTAATTACTAAATACGCTAGTATCCTGCTCTGTATTGCCCACTGAAACTTGAGTACATGTGTTTTATAATGAATTCAAAAACCAACTTTTAAAAACAGGAAATTAAAATTCATCTTAATTAACTCACTAAAAGGTGAAGTTCCTTGTTTTGGAACTCAGCATATTAATAGTGATTCTTTTAATAAAAACAATTTTGGATTAGAAAATAATACACGGTCAATGTAAAAAAAAAAAAAAAAAAAGAAGAAGAAAAAGAACCTAAGCCATTAAATTCAACAACTCTAAAATAACCACTAACACTTTCTATTTTTCATATATACGTTACAATTGTGATTATATGTTATGTTTATCTTGTGTTTTTCAATTTGCATTATATGGGGAGCAATGAATGACCCATGTCATTAAAAATTATTTTGAAATTGCTTTTATAGACTATATTAAGGACATTCCCTAATTTAAAAACAAAAAAGATCAGAACAAAAGTAAGCTTTGATATTTCTTTTATTGGATATTTAGGCAGCTTGTAAATGCTTGTGTTGTACTTAGTAAAAACTCACTGGGTTTAAATTCTTTCTTTTCTTTTTTTGTCAAGTAGTTCTATTTTAAAAAAAAAAAAAAAGTTCCTCGTCACTGAATTGCACAAGCAGAAATTGTTGAAGTGGTGTATGTTCTGCTCTGTATATTCTCAACAAAAAAAATAAAATATATTTTAAAAAAATTCTAAATCTAGTGTAGTTGTGTGAATTCCCCTTCCTGATTAACCCTAACATGATTAGGCAAAGGGGTCTGGAGACAGTTAAAAAATGAATACTTAGTAAGTATTAATATACTTAGACAATTAGATAATCAATAAAATCCAGCAAAAACTTTAGCTTTCCTCCTCCTCTATTTTAAAGAATAATACAGTTGTAAAGAATTAAGTTTGGCTCCTAATTCTTTTTTATATTTCAGACTGATTCTAGCTGAAGATTCTACCTCCCAACATTAAACACTGCATGAAATACTAGTCAGTAATAAAGTACTTGCACACTAAATCCCTCAAAACCCTTACCTTGGCGATTTTTTCGTATTCGTTTTGCTTGAAGAATTTGCTTTTTGCACTCAGCAATCTTTTCATGTGCTCCAGCAATGCTACATTCTATATAAAAAAGGTTTTTTTTAGATAGTTATAATAGTATGTATAATTTCTGTCCATTTTCAATCTTAAAATGTGTATTAAGAACTGAAGTTCTATTGCTAACAAAATATATGCTGGCATTTAAAAAAAATAGCTCTAACTCAAAATATTGTATAATACTGGAATATATTTTTATAGTTAACATTCACTGCATTCTTTGTATTAATATTGCTATTGTTGTTTTTATTCCCACCAACCAAAGAAATACGTTAGCAGACATTCTTTTCTGTATATCGTAACAATTAAAATTATAGATAGGAACAAATTCAAGCATTAATCAAGCTGCTTTACCTATTTCTTTGTAAATTTTTTCATAATTTTCCATTTCTCTGAGATTCATATCATACACCAGCAAGGTTTTGCCCATTGAAAACTCACACTGTGACAGCGTGCTCAGCATACGCTGGTACTGGCTGTATCTAACAAAGAAGAGAGAAAAACACAACAAAGATGTTTATACATTGCCAAAATCCAACTACTGTAGTGCAGGAAAGACTTGCTAATTAACTTATGCCGGGTTCTGAGAGAATCATCTGATTTAAAATAATTTAGAATATCTATCCCTTATGTTTTCTTTTTCAAAATGTGGTTTACTTGAATTTATAAACTGGTTTAGTCACAAATGCAAAAACAGAACTGTTGTTCTTATGAATATAGGCTTAATTCAAACAACTACTTACTTGAATTTTGTTTAAAACAGTTGAAAATATTTTGATTAAGATGGTATTTTATCTTCAAAATTCTGTTCTCACAATTTTTTCACTCTATATTTATCTATGTAGAAAGCTAATTCAAATAAGAAATTTTCTAAGTTAAAAAATTTTTAAGTATATTTAGTCTTGCAGCAGTTTTTATTAGCTTATTAACAAAAAAGAATATTCAATTTAGTTGTTTTATCTTACTCAACACTTATCGGATCTGCCAAAGAGGACCGGAAATTAATCTTTCTCTCTTCTTATACTGGAGCGTTTTAATCAACATCAGACAGACCTCTGAAGGGAAAAACAGGCCAGAAAACTAGTGGACATGAACAAAAAAAAAAACAGACTCGCTGCTGTCAAGTCAGCTCCGACTCACAGCGACCTTATAGTGGACATTTAAGGTGAGTGAGTGAAAATGTGAACTATTAAGAGGGCCTTAATTATGTTCTAAAATCCCATCAGGACATTGGTATAGAAATAACAATGAAATTAAGTACCCCTCTTCCTGGGAGCCAGAGCTGCACCATTTAATGAAACTCTTCACTAGCAGATTAATCCTTCGATCATCTCCAGCACCATCTCCATCAATGAGGAGACGCTTCCGGATGACTTCGTCTGGGGAAGGAAGAGCAACTGGAGTTACAAGGATCATCTGGCTCCTGTCACTGTCAGGGACAAGCAGCGAATAGCACTTCTCACACATTCCTTGGAAAGGAAGTTACGAGTGTCCTGGGGGACTAGCGCGGGAAGAAAACCACTGCCCTGAGACAGCTGGCACTCTGCTGGCTTGTTGAGTGCAAGTAATTTTCAGGTGCCACTGAAGAAATAAATAACCCAGTAATTTTTGAAGAACCCTTTTTGGAAAACGTGTCCAGACAGGAGGGAAATCCTGAGTGTTCATGTCTCCGTGGGGGAGGCATGGCAGAAGGAGTAGAGGGAGAGGAAGATTTACAAGACCCAGTGGCAGACTAGGGGAGGAGAATGGAAGGCAGGCCAGAGAAACAGGAATGGATTTGTGAAACAAAAATGTAATGTAGCTATCATAGCTGTAACATTTCTTTACCCATGAAGATTAAAAAAAAAAAAATCTGGTCTCACTTTAGCTGCAAGGTGGGGGGCGGGTGGGAGAAGAGGAAGGAAGAAAGGAATGGAAAAGCAGCGCAGATATAATGATGAGTAACAAGGAGGCCCAACCTGCCCGCCCTGCAGCCCTGAGTGTGTGCTCTAGCCTGGCCAAAATAATGCTGGGTCGTAACAAGAGGAACGCAAAGTGAAACCACAACACAGTTTTCATTTATCAGACTGGCAAAGATCAAAAGATTAGGAAACCGCGCTTATACACACTGAGGGAATAAAAACTGGTACGAGTCTGTGTAGGTTAATTGACAACAACAAAATTTAAAATACACACGTCTTTCTGACCCCATAATTCCAATTCTAGAAACTTCTCCTATAGATAAATGTGCGCCCATGCACAGAGACAGATGTAAAGGGATGTTCTCCACACTGCTCTATGTAGTAGAGATGGCAAACGAAACACTCAGCAGTAAAGAATGGGTAAATTGTGAAACATTTATACAGTGTAACAGTATGCAGCCAAAAGAATAACATGGAAGTATTTACTGATGCTGATGCCGAAAAAAACTCCAGACTATGTTAAGTAAAATAAAAACAAAACACCTGTGGAGAAGCACATACAGTATTCTCTCATTTGTGCTGAGAAGGTGTAGGTTGTGTGTGTATGGGTGTGTGTGTGCGCATAAATACATGCATGCGTTTGTATATTTACAGAAGGATACACAAGACATTAATAATAATGGTTGCTTCTGGTGAGAGGGACTGCAGACAGAGGTGGAGAAAAGATGTTTCCTATATGGCATTTGTAGAATTTTTTCGTCTGTTTGTTACCATGTGTCTGCATTATTTTAAAAAAAAAGAATTTTAAAGTATGAATAATTCCTGGAGAGCCTACAAGATGAATCAACAACAGAATCTTCAAACAATAGTTCCTGCGTGTAGGCAGAAATATTTTTAAGTGCAGGTGCAGCGGAGATAAGATTTGGAAGGCAGATGACTCCAGTTTTAAAATACACTCTGTGACAGCATCAGACAAACATTTTTAGAATTGGGTTTGGTTCTTGAAGGCATGGCTTTGACAGACTGCTCGAGCTACGGATTCATCAAGTGTTTTCACTTCACAGTTTAAGACACAAACTAGTGTTTTCAGTTTTTAGCCACCGACAAAGCTACCTGGGGAGACGGAGACGAATAAAGCACAGTCCCCGAAGAGATTAAAATACAGAAAGTGACCTCGTATTTATATTTTTTATGGTAAATGTGTTTTAATTTTATTAAAAGTAGCCATCCAGCAGGTGAGGCAATCTGGTGGCACTGATGCTGTCCAACATTCCTCTGGTGGTCGTTTCTGCCTTTCTCAAGCCGCAAGAAATCCTATCTTCCTCCTTCTCACCAGATGCGTGCGCCTCCTGCTTTATGAGGGACCAGAAGTTTGCGTGTAAATGCATTCACAGAATAGGCAGGTGACATCTGAGGGAAACGGGAATGAGGGCCGTCTGAGGAGGAGCTATTTGCCAGATACAATTTTTCATGAGATTCTTAAAGTTTGACAACTACCTAAAAACGTTTAAAACACATTTGTAATCATCCCAGCTACACTGAAGATTCGTGTACTTTTATATATGTATGCGATACTTTAATTACAAAAGTTTTTGAGAAACGTTTAAAACACTGTACAGGCCAAAGAAACTAAGCCTACAGGCTGGTCTTCTCTTCCCCACATGGGAAAAAGGCTCACAAAGCCAGCTGCAGTGTGATGGATCCCTTTCATATAGCCTTTCTAGCCATGGTCTTGTAACCCTCACCAAAGGATTGGGTGGGGCTATGCAAATAAGGTGCTGGTGGCTCATCAAGGGGATTGGACAGCTTGTTAATAATACAAACAAGGTGCATGGCACCCCTGTCGGGGGTGGACCATGCAAATAAGGTGTATTGAACCCTAACAAGGGGATTGGTCAGTTTGTCATCCCAGAGGTGAAAAGCGGGGGGGTCTCACTACCACCAAGGAAGAATTGCTAGGAGTGGAGTGCGTCCTTTGGATCTGGGGTCCCAGCTCTGGGAACCTCCTATACCCAAGAGACAGAGAGAGAGAGCTGTAACACCAGAGACGGTGAGAGACGGTGAGCAGCAGCAGCAGAACCACGAGATTGATGCAAGATGGTGCACTGAACTTCCCAGCCCACAGAGTGAGGCGGTTACAGTGGATGTGCCGATCCACGGAGTGAGAGAGCCGAGTGCCTCTGGGTGGAGGCTTACTGGCAGAGTGGGGTGCCTCTGGGCACTTACTGGTGGAGCTAAAGAACTTTGTAACACTTGCCCAAGCAGGGCAGAGGGCAGGCCAAGGGGCCAAGGGCCAGAGAGAGGCTTGCCTGCGGACACAGCTGAGAAGACACTGTCTTGATCGAAGAACTGTATCCTGAGTCATATTTCCTGATCCTAAATTGTAACCTCTTACTTCCCTAATACACCCCATAACTGTGAGTATGGTCTGTGAGTTCTGTGAGGCCACTGCAACGAATTATCGAATCCAACAGAGAAGTAGAGAGTGCTGTGGGGGGGTCAGCTGGTGTCAGAATTGGTAAAAAGGTTGGAAAGAGGAGGTATGCCTGACCTCTGCCTCATAGGAATCAGTTTTGGGCTGTTGATGCTGATGGCGATTGTTTCTCCTCCCCCTCATGAAGTCAGATGAGGAAGTCAGACGTCCCTGCCACTGCGCCAAAGTTACACGAGTCCTGTCTTATTCATCTCTGCTTTCTCCCCAGTGTCTCACATTACGTCTTATACATTTCAGATGCTCAATAAATATTTTTTAATTGGATTTGGTAGTATCTGCGTGGCACCATCCGCCCTCTAAAGAGCTTTGCTCAATAAAATACTAGAAAGGACTCGCAGGCAACTATCTTATTTTCACGTCCACAGCAGAGATTCTCTACTTGCACAAAAGACACGAATGTCTGATCACTGAGCAGATGTGTCCACAAGGTACCAGAGTGAAGTTCTGAGGATATGAGATAAAGACCCCAGCTCTTTCCCTCTAGCTGGAGAACCACACCCACCCACCGAGGAGGCCATGATTGTTAAAGGACGGACAACAGACACATAGTAGAGGAGATTAGGGGCGCTTCCTTGGGCTAGGGGAATCATGGCAGGCCCTTACAAGGAAGGTAATCTGAACTGCCCTTTTGATACTTAAAAAGTACCAATCAAAAAAGATAAAGGATATTTTAACAATATCTATGAAAATTTCAAATAACATATAGCCCTTGACCCAGCAATCCTACAGATATACTGCCATATATGCAACATGACATACGTCAGCTTATTCACTAGAACACTAAAACAACCAACAATGGGAAACAACCCAAATGTCCATCAACAGGGGACCAATTAAGTAAATTTTAGTACAAGAGCGTGATGGAATGCTATGGCACCATTAAAACAGACACAGAATGAGGAAGTGCTCTATGTACTAGTGTAGAGAGGTCACTTAAGATTGTTGAAATAGCAAGATGAAGAACAGTTATGTGTGGTATCCTTCCTTTTGGATAAAAACAGGGAAAAATAAGAATGTATGTTCATATGTGCTTATATTTTCATAGATACCATGGAAGAATATTAAAAACATAAAAGGGGCTACATTATGAGGGTGGGGAGGGAGGGTGAGGGTTATTTACTAACTAGACAGTAGATAATAATCTTAGGTGAAGGGAAGGATAGCACACACTACAGGAGAAGTCAGTACAACTGGACAGAACCAAAGCTAAGAAGTTTCCTGAATACAAACACTTTGAGGGACAGAGTAGCAGGGGTAGGGGTCTGGGGACCATGCTTTCAGGGGACATCTAGGTCAACTGGCATAACAAAGCTTATTAAGAAAATGTTCTGCATCCTACTTTGGTGAGTGGCATCTGGGGTCTTAAAACCTTGCAAGCAGCCATCTAAGATGCATCAATTGGTCCCAACCACCTGGAGTAAAGGAGAATGAAGAACACCAAAGACACAAGGAAAGTATTAGCCCAAGAGACAGAAGGTCCACATAAACCAGAGATGTCAACAGCCTGAGACCAGAAGAACTAGATGGTGCCCAGCTACCACCAATGACTGCCCTGACAGGGAACACAACAGAGTGTCCCGGATGGAGCAGGAGAAAGGTGGGGTGCAGAACTTAAATTCTAGTAAGAAGACCAGACTTAATGGTCTGACCGAGACTGGAGGAACCCTGGAAAGCACAGCCCCCGGATTCTCTATCAGCCCAGAACTAAAACAATTGCCGAGGCCAACTCTTCAGACAGGGATTGGACCAGACTGTGGGACATAAAGGGATCTTGTGAGAAGTGTACCCCTTAGCTCAAGAGACTAAATGGGCACTTTCTGTCTGGAGATGAGATGGGAAGGCAGAGAGGGTTAGGCGCTGGTTGAATGGACACAGGGAATCAGGGATGGAAAGGAGGAGTGTGCTGTCACAGTACGGGGAGAGGAATTAGGGTCACATAACAATGTGTGTATAAATTTTTGTATGGGAGACTAACTTGAAATGTAAACTTCATTCAAACTACAACCATAAACAAAATAAATAAATAAGTAAATGATAAAAAAAAAAGGGGGGCTACAAAGGACATGGATGGGGGGCAGTGTAAGTGGGATAGTGGGGGCAGACTGGAAGATGGGTTATCCTTTTATATTACTTTATTTTTGAACTATACCAGTACCAGTTGCTGTTGAGTCGATTCCAACTCGTGGAGAACCCATGTGTGTCAGAGTAGAACTGTGCTCCATAGGACTTTCAATGGTTGATTTTTCCAAAGTAGATGACCAGTTCTTTCTTCTGAGGTGCCTCTGGGTAGAC